CTTTTCACAAAAATCTTTAAGTTTAACTTTTAACAATTCCTATAAGCTATAAACTGCAACAAAAGTTCATTGCCCGAGAGAAGACAGGAGTGTGTTCACAGCTCTTCCGAGAGTTCACTTGATATTAAAAAATCGATGCGCTATCCTGGGACTTGGCAGCATCGGAGTGCGTTAGATTTACACACTAATGCAGAATCGGAAGTTTATTTAATAATTGCCCTTTTTTTTTGGTTCGGAAGACAAAACTAATTTTGATTGAAGACAGCAGTAGGCCAATCGCGAGATCCGAACGATCACTTTTAATTCCTCTAAAAGTCACTAACGAGCGCCAAAATCTCGGTTCACTCGAAGAGCCCGAAACGAGCGACCAATTTTGTAATACTTCCGCCAAGGTATCTTCACCATCCGCGAGGTGACTAACGACTGACTCTTAGGGAGTTAAAATTTTGGTGTTTCGGGAGTGCTCATGCCTTCCACGAGTTCAAAATTTCGTCACGGATTGGGAAACAATCGGCAGAGGTATCGGGGTTGTCGTTCGGGCGGGCATTGACCATCGGAGGAATTCACAGCGTCGGCGATTTATTTGGCCATTGACTTATTTTGAAATCAGGTATAATAAGATTTCTTGGGTGAAGAAATCGTTTCGGTTTCACAATTGATGGGTCGATATGGATTGTTATTATTATTTATCTTTTGTGATTATTATTATATTTTATAACATAATTCCGGACATCACAGCCCCCGCTCAAGATTGCTATTTTGTATTGTGGTTGGATTCAAAATCAATTTTGAGGAGTAAAGCTCGGTGATGATTTTATTTATTTGAAGTGATATGGTTTTATGTATTTGGGTTTTGCTGATTTCATTGAATCGGTGCAACCGAGGCCTTGAGCGAGGGAGTGCTGACGCGGTGGTTTGTGGATTCCTTTCGTTCAGTTTACCCGCTGCCCTGATTCAGTCGCATTATGGACTAATTCCCTTGTAGAAAAAAAAGATCGTGGAGGCAATTATTGTTCGTTTATTTCATTGTGTAATTATTAGTGTTTGTGTTTTGATCTGGTTTGTAACTTATTTGTTAGGGTAGGATGGATTCTGGAGAGGAGAATGTGGGTGGTGAGGTGTGTCTTCCTGATGAGGTGGCGCAGGTGACTCCCGAAGATGTGGTTCACGCAGTGGTTCCCTTGTTGTCTCAGGCTGATAGATTAGACGCCCTGGATGGTCTAATGTCCACTGCTGTACCGATCATTCCTGATTCTATACCTATCTACCTTGGGGAACACCCTTTTCAGCGGAACCCTGGTGCCGTCCGAGATCTGGTGCTTCTTCTCCATGTGCGATTCATTGAGTATTGCTGGCGGGAGAGTTGGCTATGGTATCTGAGGGACGTCGGTGGATTTACTCCGGTGGTTGAGGGAATTGTGGAGTGGTTGAATGTTCTGGGGAATGGGAATATTCCCCTTGAATTTGACTGGACGGAGGGTTATCTGTTGGTGGGAGATCAGTTTGGAATGGACAGGGATCTGGCGTGGCGTTATTTCTACTTCAGGAAATGCCCCCAGGTAGATTGAGTTTTATTTTTCTCTTATTATTATTACTTTATTGTTTTTTTTTGTGAGGGTTAACTTGAGGCAAAATTATTTGTTGAATTTCAGCGTCCAGGAAGTGGGTTATCTGCGGAGATTTTCCGGGGCTTGGCTTTGGGTTTTGGATTGCCATTTTTGATCGAAGGATTCGAGGCTGCCCTTGACAGGGGTTTGGAGGAGTTGATGGATCAATTGGAGACTCATTATGATCGTTATCAGAGTAGTTAGCTTTCCATTTTTGTATCATCGGGTTGTATTGGGGGAATAAATCTCTATGTTTATAAGTTGAGTTAGTGTTTCCATTTATACCGATGATATGGATGAGTTTGAATTCGAGCAGCAGTTGACAAAGTCGCCGTGGGTGGCGCATTATCGTCTTGCTCGAGTTATCAATTGGCGTGGTCTGGATCAAAAATGGCGTAACCCCTTCCTGTCACGCATCGTTCAGCGAGGTGCCGCGTGGTGATGGTAATAGTCTCTTTGATATATTGAAGATTTATTATCTGGTGTAATTGGGATTTTTCAGGGGTGTGTTGGAGGGGTTTTTTGTGATTGATTGGAAGCGGAAGAGGGGATAGACTCTCGTAAGTTCTCTGTGAGGATGAGGTGAGTTTCAATTTTACTATTATGAAAAATTTTGTTATTATGAATCTGCTTTAATGTAAATTTTTGTATTTTTTTTTACAGGGATAGTTCAGGTTTTGGTTAGATTCGTGTACATCGTTACTAGTCTGTTGGCAGTGTGCTTCTAGGGGTGAGCTCTACGAATCGAAAGGGATGCAGGTCATGGAAGTTACTGTAGTGGTTTTTACTTGTCTGTTTAGTCAATTCCAGCCAATTCGTTCATTCAGTCAATTCGTTTAATCTCGGGTGGATGGGAGGGGGGACAGGTCTCACGCCTGCCCAGCTGGTTTTTTCTTTCTTGCTATATTTTTTTTGTAGCATATATATATATATATATATATATATATATATATATATATATATATATATATATAAATAAATAAATATTTGAGGGGCTGGAGACACGAAATTTGGTTTCAGTTCGGCTGGGGGAGTTCGAGATCTGTCCCGACTCTGTCTGATCCTATCCCTAGTATCTGATTTCTTCGCCTGATTTTATTTGTTTTGGGAAGTTTCGAATTATTTTTTTTGTTTATATATATTTTGCTCGTATTTCGGGATTATTAGTTGATATTGTTGTGGCTACTTTGCTGCTTTTAGTCTAACATTATTATCCTTATTATTGTTATCATATTCCCCCTTTTTTTTAGGAATAGAGAGAGAGAGAGAAAATATACTCGTTCGTCGGTATTTCTACATTCTCATGCAGACAGGAACTGCTTGTAAAGCCATCGGGGGTGAGCTATCTTCCGGTTTCTGTATCTTCTTGGGTGGAGATGGTGTCGGATAAGGAGGGATTGTGGTTAGTTCGGCCAGGGTGATGGTGGAGACTCGCAGGTCTTGGGCTTTCTCTATAGTTGGTCTTGACCTTTTGGAGCTAGGTTTCTTTCTTTGATCTTTCGCTCTCTGGTAACAACATGTGATGATAAAGAGGAGTGACAACCCTCTTTTGTAGGCGATCGCTCTACCTATCATAGCAACTAGGGAGATAGCCCCGGTGATGCTGCAATTCGTGAGCGTTAGGATCCGATGGTAATAATCTTCCTGATGGTGTTGGCCGATTTTATTCGTTTCTTCGATGATGTCTTGCATGGATTGGTCAAACGGACTGTTTTGGCCGTCGATAGGTAAAGGATTCAGTTGAATATTGGTTAAGGTATGTAGCTTTTCAGGTATTCTAGCTAATAGGGGAGTCATTGCTGACATATTCAACGTTGCAGATACCCCGTGGATGACCGGTAACTGAGTTTTAATGATCCCAGCGTTTTCAAGGGTGACTGTCGCTGTTTCTGCAGTGCAATTTGGATTCAGCTGGATGATCCCTATCCCATTTAATGTTAGACTTTCCTGTGTGTTGTCTAAGCAGGAGATTTCCAATTTTTCCGATAAGATTGTGGAGAAGAGCCATCCCTCTGTGTAGGTTAGTCTGGTCCATTGAGTCTCGAGATCGTTTGTCAGACGTACATCGCAGTTTTGGTAGGTTTTGAATTTTATTTCCAATTCAGGGGAGGTGAAAAGTAATTTCTCGCAGGTGGGCCGAGCGGTCGGTTTGCGAAGGGGTACGGTTTTTGGGCATCCTAGGCAGGTCTCTAACGGGGTACAGCTTTTGAGGTATTTTTCGTTGATCGAGGCATAGTTTTCATGAGTCTTGGAGTGCAGGTAGTACTCTTTCGATGGCTCGATGTAGGAGGCGATAGCTTGGTTGCCTTGGACTAATTGAGGGGTCTTGCATGGGATGAGCTTATAGAGGTCCATGTAGTCTCGTGTCAGTAGGGGTATGTTAATTATGACAAGAAATCTCTCGCTATGATACGCCGTTTCCACGGTGGATATTTGCGATAAGAGTGCTAAATCTAGTTTGTTTTTGGAGATGGGGAGAATCCTGTCAGTAGCTAGTTTCTCTATTTGGATCGCAGTTTCTTCTATCTGGCGGTCATTCATCAATGTAGGATGTATTTTTCCATGTTTTGCTTGTTCTATAGCCTGAACCATTTTGTTTGCTCCTTCGATGTATTTCCTGGCGGCATATTCTACTCGTGCTGTCATTTGACTGGCGGAGTTCGCATATTCTACGTCGGTTATTTGGTTGGCAAACCTATTGTTGGTGGAGACGACTTCGTCCAGTCGTCTTTGTTGAACCTGGATTTGCTCAAGATTTCTATTGTGCTCCTTTTTGATGGAGTTGATCTCTGCCTGGATGATATGGGTGGAGTTTCCAATAAGATGAGTAATTTTCTGCTGGTCTTGGTACAGTCGATCGATTTTCTTGTTTATATGTTCGAAATCGTTGTAATACATTCTACCGAATATTTTCCGGCTTATAGTTCCTATGAATCCTAGTAGTGGTGATCGGGATTGTCTTTCTCTGACGTTGGACTGTGGCATTTGGATAATCTTCCGAAGGTGATCTTGGATAGCTGCCAGTTCACGGTCAAAAGCATCGAAGATTTCCATTCCGAGGACCTCGGAGCAGTATTTCGTATTTTTCTTCTGTTCACACAGGTTGTATTGGTGGTAAATCACGTCTTGCCCAGGGTATTGGTGTCCAAGCATGTTGTTGACGTCAACTGTCACCATCAGCCGCCAATTTTTATTGATGAACCGTATTTGATCTATTTTCTCATAGTATAGCCCAGGATTGTGTGGTATAGGCATAATTTAGTAGGTTCTTTCCTGTTTTTCTTGGCATAGGGCGAGCGTACTCCAGGAGTATATCCAGATCTTCCAGTGTAGGGGTGTCATCCTTGGTATCCTGTAGTTAATTCAAAATATTTTTTTTTTCGTTTTTTTTTGTTAGTGGTTATAGGTAATTGGGTAGTTTTTGGCGGCTCTGGAATGCTGAGATCCTATGGGATTTATTTTTGACCCGATCTTCGCGAGTTCATCTGCTTTTTCATTCCCGTAGATACCCCTGTGCCCTGGTGAGAATTCGAATTCTACGTCTATTTGTTGCATTAATCCGTCCAACTGTTGCAGTAGATCTCTGTTGACTACTGGCTTTGCTTTAGCGTTGAGCCATCCATAGGTTTTCCATTTGTCCATGTGTCCTGTCATGCAACTAATCAAGTATTTTGAGTCCGTTATTATTTTGATGGCATTTATATCATGCTGTAGACATATTTTACAGGCCTCGATGGCTGCTAGGTTTTCTGCAGTGATGTTAGTGACCCTTATTCCCTTTACAGCCTTGTAGGTGTTTAATGGGTGTTGATGTGCGAACCATATTCCGCTTCCGGCGATGGCATTATCAGTTCCATTGTATAAGTATGACCCGTCCACATAGACGGGAATACGAATGGAGGTGTTGGAGGTCATCGTTCCTCATTCCTGTAAGTGAGAATGTGCCTCGTTAGATTGATTGCATCATTGGACTTGATTGGCAGGTCTGGTTTACCAGTGACTATTCTTCTTGACAAATTTTAAGGTTATTGGGATGTTGCATAAATTTGTGGCCTTCTTCTGTTTCCAAGATTACATTACCCATCTCAGTAATGTCGGCTATCTCGTATGGACCTGTGTATCTTTGATCCAGCTTATTCTTGACAGGCTTTTTTTTTACATAAAAGAAATTTCCGACTTGTAGCTGTAGAGGGTTCAAGTGTCTGTCATAAACTTTCTTCGAGTGCATCTTAGATTTCTCCAAGTTTTCAAAGGCTATCGTGTGTATTTTATCGAGATCGTGATGAGATGTACCATGAAGTCATTGTAACTCTCGATTTTATCTTCATCGTGGATATTGGAAGGTATTCGCGCTCGTTTCCCGTACAGTAGTTCAAACGGGGTGAAGCTGGCTGAGCTGTAGACCGTGGTGTTATAAGATAACATCGCATAAGGGAGAAGTTCGTCCCAGTCGGTAAACTCATCTGTAAATGCTCGGAGGTATTGGACAAGCACATGGTGGCTCCTCTCGAGGGCTCCATTGGATTGTGGACGATACCCTGACGTCGTCACATGATGGAATCTGAGCAGCCTTCCCAGCTGAGTGATCAGTTTGCTGGTGAAGTTGGTCCCTTTGTCTGAAAGAATTACCCGAGGTATACCATATAGGGCTACGTACTGTGTGGTTAGAGCCTGTGCCACGGTGTGTGCTCGGATGTCTTTCAGTGGGATTGCTGCGCAGTGTTTTGAGACATTATCCTGTATTGTCAGGAGATGCTCGTTTCCCTTCTTAGTCCTGGGCAGTGGTCCCACCGTATCCACTGATATTTTGTCGAATGGCTCGCTTGGGGTATCGGTGATGATCATGGGTTGCCGTGTTTGCACTCTCTGGATTTTCTGCAGTTGACAAATTTTACAAGCTTTTATATGCCTTTCGACCTCTTTCTTGATGTCCGGCCAATAAAATCTTTCTCGGATTCTGTTGAAGGTTCCGACGATGCCCTTATGTGCCCCCGGCAGGGTTTCATGGCATTCTTTTATTATCTCAGGTCGTAGCGCTTCTGGAGGCATGTAAATTTTTCCGTGGCACAGCACAAATCGGGTTGGGTGTTCATGGAATTCTCTTTCTAAGGAGTATTTGATCCTGATATCTTCATCGATCTCATCTCCGGGGAGGGCCATTCTGACTTCTTCGATTTTGTATTTCTCGAGGGCTTCTCGCAGATTTTTGAGGCAGAGTTTGAGAATTTTGTTTTGCTCCTTTTCGAAGTGCCATTGTTTCACGATGAAGGAGAGCGTGTAGAATTTGCGACACTTTCTGACCATGACTTGGTCTAATCGAGGTTTCAGGTTTTTGATACAGTTTAAGTCGATTAGGTTCAGGTCTCTGAGCAGTTTGGTATTTTGTTTGGTCACTTCACCATCCGCAGCGATGAAATGGGCGATGTTGCCCCTGGTGAACGTGAGTCCATCCCTTGTTTCGCTTACATTCGTGGCCGGCTGATAATGCTCGCTGGGAGGTATGGTAATCTTATCATCCACGATAGGATCTTCTTCTTGAGTCACCTCGAGGTTTTCCTCTGGCCTACCGAAGTTCTGGGTATCATAGAATATTGGAAAAGGTAGCCCTTCGCTGGATTTATCTGGAGTCGCCCCCGGTATCGGTGTGTTCTATCCGCTCTCGTCTTCTGTAGGGCGGGGGTTGCAGGTGTTAGGGGTTCGTGGCTTTCGTTGATTGTGTCGAGGGTTGGTGCTGCTGTTCCTTAGTTACTTCTTCTCGTTGAAGTAAGTTGTTCTATCGAGAATAACTATCGTGGAGTTACCTAAGACCTTGAACACGTTTGGATCCCTTCATCAATTGAATGAGGGGATGATCCTGTTAGTGGTACTTATCTGGGGCACAGTGTGGGCATGGCTGACTCGTTTAGCTGGTTAGATTCTGTTATCACTGAGTGCCTTCCCTTGAATTGGCTTTGTTCAGCTGTCGCTTGAGGCGATGTAGTGTCTTTATCAGCAGAACGTGGTGCTTCCATGATGGAGGATGATGTGCTCTCCTGATTAGGAGTTTCTTCTGATAGGTCGCCAGCTGATCGATCATCTGGTTGGATTCGCTGAGAGTCCTCTAATGCATCAGTAGTCTCAATCAGGACGCGGGAGTTCTCTTCGTATTCCCTCATTTGTTTCTCAAATTCTTGGATGGAGTGGTTTAAACTCTCTGAGAACTTGTTAAGCTCAATGGACCTCAGGCTTAACCTTTTCAATTCGTGCAGAGGAATAGGCCTTTCGATTTCTTGATGGTTTGAGTTAGTAGTTGATTCCTTTGCTTCTTCTTTCTCTCTCATTTCCTTAATAAATTTATCAAGTTTCGAGAACAGGGTGGGTTAGTGTCCTCGTCATCATCCCTCTCTTCTGGAAGTTCCTCAGTTTCAATTATGGCTGGTATTGATAAATCCTCCTCTCGATTCTCTTCGAACACATCATCGTTGTTTTCCTCGATATTTTCGATTGGTAGAGCTTCAATGCTGATTTCAAGATTTTCGTTGTTGTTCTGCGACGGCCTCTTCATTAGGAACTTCTGGTTCGAACACCTATTTCTCAGTGGTTGATACTTCAGCACTCGGGTGAGGTATCTCTCGTTCTTGGAAGGAAGTTTGTGAGGATGTGGATTGGTTATGGCTAGTTGAGCGTATCGCGGATGCACTTGGGGGTCGGGATCTGATCGTGATAGGTTCGATACCAGGTTCTGGAAGAGGAGGTGCCGCTTTGGAAGCGACATTGTAATCTCGGGTTTGCTTATAGGAGATGGATGGTTTAATCCCGCTAGCTCTTTCTGAAGTTCTTCTGCCAGCGAGTCTCCGGGCGATGGATTCTCCATCATCTTCTTCTCCAAGTACCGTTGGTTGGGTTTGTATCCTCACACGTCTTGTCGCGTTAGTCTGAGTAGCAGCTTTCTTCAGATTGCTACTAACAGGTTGCACTGGCATGCAGATTGCAAAAAGGATTGTCTCAGGGTTTTCTTCTTCTAATGGGTTCTCCGTAAATGCGTCCGCGGTATGTTCTCTTTTGTTTTCTGATTTTTACATCGAATGTAAAATCATTAAGCCAAGTTTTCCATTTTACCTGTCTAGATGTTGGGTTTGACGAGTCCCTCAGCCAGTTGAGTGCAGGGCTGTTCGTCACCACAAGAAATGGTACTCCGTAAATGTAGGGCTTGAACTGTTCTAGCCCATATACTGTAGCTAGGCATATACTGTAGCTAGCTCTTTCTGTTGGAGTGTATCTTGTCTCTGCATCTTTCAATGTCCTGGAGGCGGAAATTATAGGATGTTCGTCTCCTTCTTTGTCCTTTTGGCTGAGGATAGCTCCCAGTCCTTTTTCAGTGCTTGAAGCTGTCACTGTGAAAGGTTCCTCCATGTCTGGTTGATATAAGAGAGAATCTGCAGTTATGGCGGTTTTCAGCGTATCGAAGGCTTGCTTCTCTTGTTCACCCCAGTGGAACTTTTCGCCCTTTTTCAGTAGCTCGGTCAGGGGGTGGGCGATATCTGCATAATTCTTGATGAATCTCCTGTAATAGTTACTGAATCCCGAGAATTTTCGAACTCCTTGCTGGGTTTTGGGTGTAGGCATCTCGACAAGTGCTTTGATTTTTACTGGATCTGGTTGAACTCCTTCTTTATTTATGATATGCCCTAGGTAGGCAACTTCCTTCATGAAGAACTTACATTTGTCGGGTTGAAGGTTGAGGCCGTTTTCCCTGATTCTCTGAAATAGCCGACGGAGTCGATCTACATGTTCCTCTAGAGTTTTTGAGTGGACGACGATGTCATCCAGGTAGACGAATAGCTCCGTACCCTTCAGTCCAGCAAAAGCATGATCCATCATGCGCTGGAAAATTGGAGGGGAGTTCTGTAGCCCGAATGGCATCCTTGTGTATTCATAGTGCCCACTAGGCCCACTGAAAGCGGGCTTTTCTCCGTCTTTCTCGTCCATGGCGATCTGGTGGAATCCACTAGCAAGGTCGAAGATGCTGTAGTATTTCGCTCCACCCAGTTGAGACAGGATCTCGGAGGTGTTGGGCAATGGCTAGGAATCACCTACGGTTTTTCTGTTTAGCACTCGAAGATCGATGATGAGTCTCCACCTTTTCTTTCCTTTGGAATCCGCCTTTTTGGGTACAATCTACAGCGGTGAGTTGTATGGGGATATGGAGTGTTTGATGATCTTCTGCTCGAGCATCATTTCAAGTTGTTTATTTATTTCGACCCCATGTTGTGGAGGGGCTGGGATTGTCGTTTATGGATAGGTGTTTCGTCCACTGTGCGGATGGTGCAGGTAAAGTTCTTGGCCTTTCCCAGGCAATCACCCGGCAGGTGAAAGATGTCGTGGTATACTTGGATTAACCGAGCCACTTCTCTCTGTTCGAACGCCTTCAGGTTATGTGGGGGTAGTGCTTCTAGAACTTTCTGGGCTCGTGTCTGACTATTTTGGCTATCTAGGAACGTTGCACCTATGCTGCATGCTGCTTGTTCCAGTTCGTCTTCTATGCTCAAGGTGAGATCATATGGTTCTACGGTCTGAGGTGGGATGTTGATGTCTACTGGAACATCTTGCGTGTTGATTATCATTGCATAGGCGATGTCATTATCAGTTTGCACTAGACATTCTCTTAGATGAACCCCTTTCGAGGTATTCACCTTTGGTAGATATCCACTTGCCAACCCATGTCCTGGTTGAATAGGGACTTCGATCGCCATCCGGACTCGGGGCGGGATTGTTATCGGTTTTCCTCGCTGTTTTTCTTTATACCAGTGGATTGAGGTATTCGGATTCCTTTTAGTGACGATGGTTTGGTACAGGTACTTGATGTCTACTTTCTCCTTCACTAGGAATTCTAGCCCCAGAACGCCAACGCCCTTGACAGGTAATTTGTGTTCCAC